CCTCCCTCCCTCCTTCCTTCCCTCCCTCCCTCCCTCCCTCCTTCCCTCCCTCCTCCCTTCCTTCCTAACTTGTATGCCATCCATCTCATCAAAGATGACTTTTGCCACCTTACAGATATTCCTCAACCCCCTAAAATTTATTTAACATCTCTGCAGAATTCAGGTTCCTTCTGAATTATTTCTTGAACTACCTGACGTGTGAATGATGCTCTTTTCATTGAAGCCAAATTCATGTTTGGAGCCCTAGTTCCCAAGGAGTACATTGGATAATTGGGTCCTAATTTTATAGGAAAGTCTCCTGTTTTGTTTTGTATTTTAAAATTCTGGTTCTTACATTTCCCCTCTGCCCTTTTGTTCCAGCTTTGTTCCAATGCTCTTTTTTTCTTCGTTCTCTCTCCCCAAAATTCACCCACTCCAGGCTGCAAAGATGAGTTGGGCATGCAGACAAGAGCTATTGCAGACACTCAGCTTACAGCATCATCAGTGTATTATGGCTTCCTGGGTGTGCAACGCTGGGGCCCTGAACTTGCTCGCCTCCACAACAGAGGAGTTGTGAATGCCTGGACAGCCAGCAGCTATGACAAAAACCCTTGGATTCAGGTATTGGTGCAAGAAGAAGCCTCTGTTCCAGGGGGCAAGTAGGGTGTCAGGGCTGAAAATGGCTCCAGGGCTGACAAAGGGGAATGGAAACATTTGGCCATTATCTATAGTGGCACAGTGGTTAGAATGTAGTATTGCAGGCTAACTCTGCCCACAGTCTGGAGTTCAGTCCGGATCGGTTTAAGATTGATTTAGTCTTCCACTCTTCCGAGGTCGGTAAAATGAGGACCCAGATTGTTAGGGGCAATATAATACTCTGTAAACTGCTTAGAGAGGGCTGTAAAGCACTGTAAAGCGATATATAAGTTGAAGTTCTATTGGTGTTGCTGTTATCACTGTATGAATTGGCCTCAGAGTTGAGTGGCTGTTGATGATTATGACATGACACAGTGGGTTCTTTCACCCAACCTGCAGCCACCCCGAAACTTGCAACCATTAGCAGGGAGTGTTTTTGGAGATTTTCAGTCATCTTCTAGGTCATGATTGTCCCAAAGGTGCTCCCCCTCCCACTTCAAGAGGGAACTGGACTTTCTTGTTTTTCTTTGAAGACGTTTCACTTCTCATCCAAGAAGCTTCTTCAACTCTGACTGGATGGTGAGGAATGGAAAGGTAGCCATTTGCATTCTTTTAGAGAGTCCTTGAAGGACGCCACCTGGAGGTTTATCAGTGTCCTCAGGGTCATCTGAGTGAAGCAAATGGGTGCGGAGCCTTCTTGGAACTGTTGAAAGGACTGTGTGATAGACTTCAGATCCATGTTCTGACTAAGGCTTCCAAACTGTAATTACACACACACGTCTTTTAAAAACAAGACTTATTTTATTGCAATGCTGGGAATTGTTTTCATTCCCAGCTGGAATTAAACTCAAACAGTCCCCCGAGATAAGCACACACCTTTCAGTTCTGTGAAGTGCTGCCAAAAAACAGAAGTATCAAATGAACTAGAAAAGAAGCCAACCGAAGTACAAAAAAACCCAACCAAAGTACAAAGAGCTTCAAGCATGACTCTGAACCGATCAAACTACTTCGCTTCCAGCAAAGGTATCATCATCTTTGCCTGACCTTTATACCTTATGGGAGGGGCAATGATCTTCAAGCCTTACTCCCAAGTCACCCCTTTTGTCTCAGCTACTGTTGCCTTCTAGCAGCTCTGCGCACATGCGCACTGGGAACAGGCTCCCCTGGGTCCTCTGCCTCGCTGCTGCCAGACTCCAGAGGCTCTGGAGTCAGCACCCCATTCCCAGATGCTCCTGGCCCCATCTCTGCATCAGATGCAAGACCCTCCTCTGAGTCATCTCCAGACTCCCTGCCTGGTCCCCGTTCTTCCCCACTGTCTGATTCTGCTGCCGTCTGTACAGGCTGCCAGCGAACCACAACAATACATGACATTGTATCTCTCCCGTTCTGTTGAGAAAGGGCTGTTCAATTTTGACATAGATAGCCTCTTTGACTCCACTTTCAAACCAGTGGTCCTCTTTTTCCAAGATGTGGACTTTACTGTCTTCAAAAGAGATGGACTGCTAAATCTTGTCCTGATGGGTTTGTTCTCCTGTGTTGTGCCATGTGTTTATGAAGTCAACTAGGTGTTCTTAGATTGCAGCTCCTTTACCTTTTTAATTGGACAAGCCTACTAAGGCTGATAGAGTTAAAGAACATCTGGAGAACTACACATGCCTGCCAAGATTAAACATCTTTTTATGCTTCCTTTGATATCACAAATGCTTTCTTTAAAACATAAACAGTGTCAGGATTTGCTGGTGGTGATGTGATAGATCTGAGGAAGGAAAGGTAAACTTCTCCCTTGTTAAGCTTCCTTATAATCCTACCTCTTTTTATTTTAGTCAATTTTATTAGTTTTAGAAAGAGATAAAATATAAAATGATGGGAAAAGAAGGAAGGGAATCAAGAGGTTAGAAAGGACAAGAAAAAAAGTAAAGAATGGGAAAAAAAATACAAAAAGAGTGACTTCCAACATTCTTCAGTATAGATCCAAATACATAATAACCTCTTAATCTACATTGAAACAGAAACACAACATTGCAATATAAAAAGTATACCAATTTTAACAAGCCTATCTCTTATTCATAATGAGATGGCAAATAAAACTATCTTACATTTTTAAAAACAATAACAACAATAAAGCTTGAGTTTAGTCCTTTGTTAGAGCTTGTCATTGGAATTCTTACAGAATTTTTCATTTTGGGGTGATAAGTTCATAAGTGTTACTTTTAATTTCTAGATGGCAGTGACTTTCTTTAAAAAAAAACAGACCCATGCCCTAGGGAGATTACAATTTAACCTTTTCTTATGAAAACTACTGTGTTGAGCTAATTAACAAAACAGAGTTTACATATGCAGAACAGACTCAAAGAATAATGTAACTTCAATACAGTCTGACTTTAGACACAGGATCAAATACTCAGTTTTGTTGCTTTCATTTGCTTTTTCATTTGATGTTTTCTTTTAAGTACCCAGCCAATTTGATTCATTCTGCCTCTTTTACCCACCCACCCCCTACCCCTTTATTTTTTATTTTAATTCCATGCAGGTAAATCTGTTGAAAACAATGTTCCTCTCTGGGATTGTTACTCAAGGGGCAGGCCGTGGAGGATTCTCAGAGTATGTCCAGACTTACAAAGTTTCCTACAGTCTAGATGGACAAGTATTTACATTCTACAAAGATGAGAACCAAAATCAGGAAAAGGTGGGTAAGAGAGAGCGGCTGAAGGCAAAAGAAGGAAAGAAAAACAAAGGGATTCTTTTAAACCACACTTACGATATGTAAGCATTTTGGAATGATCAGATTTGCTTTATTTACATCGCAATGTTATCCTTTCAAGAACATAAAGTTGGACAACAAAAGCATTTTCAGGTGTTCTACAGAAGGGAAAACTTTGGTTTCCTTTAACTTTTCGTTAATTCTTCCCTTAATTCTTCTTTCTAGTGAAACAAAAGCCTAAAGCCTTCCCCTTCCCTCCCTTCCTCTTCTCTTCCTGTTTCCTTCCTTCCTTTCTCTCCCTCTCCCTCCCCCTGTCCTCCCCTCCTCTTCCTTTTTCTTTCCTTCCATCTTTCTTTCTTCCCTCCCTCCTTCCCTTCCCTTTCTGTCTCTCACACACGAACAAGTTTCCCATCAGGAAAATGTATGAGTTAAATGTGTAAAGTAGTGTGATTTACATTCAAAAGAAGGGAAAGGCCTTGGCAATTCATCTGAGCACTGGTGTAAATTGTTGTAAGATGTACAGAAATCCTTTCTACATTATGAAATATTATAAACATACATGGGGACAAAATGTTCTGTGATTATTTTTCCCCAAAGCCCTGGAGGGTCGGGTTTTTGGGGGAGTGGGTGGGTGCCTTTGAGTTAGTATTAATTCCTGACAACTGTCTGGATTACAATAGTAGCATGTGCAGTTTTCTTGGCAAGATTTTGGAAGAGGTTCGCCACTGCCTGCTTCCCAGGCTGAGAGAGAGAGACTGGCCCAAAGTCACCCCACTGGTTTTGGGTCTAAGGTGGGTCTAGAACTCACAGTCTCCTGGTTTGTAGCCTGGCACCTTAACTACTACACCAAACTGGCTCTTGTATAGAAAATTATACATTATGCGATATTGTAAACAAACTGGAAAAATTTGAGGTGTGTGTGTGGGGGAATTACTTAGTATCTGCATTACTAGAATTCCATTCCTATAGACTGACTTTTTAGCACCTTGCCTTCCCCTATACTTAACGCTAATTATATTTAATTTTCACCCTGCTCCAGATGGATGGGTAGCACTCAGTTTATAGCTTGAGGGTATTTGAAGAGCTCCTGTGGGTGTTAAATATTTGGAAATCCAGCAGTTCTGAATTTATTTATTTTTTGCAAGCCCTGACTAGCAAGATAACCAGAAGCACATTTCTCTTCAAGCATCATTGACTTTGTCAGTTCCTCTTGGGCTTCCTTTCTCTTCCTCTCCCCCCTGTGCCCCCATTTAAGGTCTTCTCACCTTGTGGGGGAAAAAGATACAAAGCACCTTTGAGTGAGTTAGTTCCAGTGTTAACTTCAGGCATGTGGGGTGTAGCCTCTAAAAAATTGAATGCTGAATTGACCTCATTCTAAAAAAAATGGCTTTGTAAGTTATTCTCCAAGTCCCTGCATTAATGAGCAATCAGAACTGCTGAAACTCTTAGAAAAAGCCTTTATTTGAATTTTCCAGCATCATATTTACCCAGGACTAAGTTTTACTAAATCAACCAAAGTTTGTTGATCTAGTTAAATTAACTGTTGCATCCTTGCTCTCTTGTTTAATATTACAAACAAAAGTCTTTTTTTCTTGAGCTGAATGCTAAATACTAAAATCCCACATGCTGTAAGTGGGTTTAACTAGTTTTTATTTTGTTTATTAAATTTATATGCCATCCATCTCACTATATCTCCCTGGACAGCTTATAGTGCAATAAAAACATAAATAGAAAAACAATAGAAAATCACAAGAGCTGAGTGTTTACTGACTGGATGCCTTCCTGTTGCCTATGCAGAGGTAGCAGCAGACATTTTTCTCTCTCTGGGCATAAAGAGAAAATATCTGCTGTGAACTCTGCATAGACAACAGGAAGGCATCCAGTCAGTAAACACTCAGCTCCATTCAATAACCCCGACTCCACCCCAACACAACGGATTACAGGGTCATTAAAAGAAACAAAAATCTGTCAGTTACATGTTTTTATTTCTCTACATTAATCACTTGCAAAGCTTAATATTCTTGAGTTCATCAATTATAGGGATTGTTTTTAGTTATTTTTAAGCAATAATATATAATAGTATCATTGTTGAGTCGTATTATCCTAAGCCTGCAGCTTATCTTAGTACAATGCAATCTTTATTTTGCTCAGTGATCCATGCACAATAAGATGTAAAAGCTTATGAGAACAAATAAATAAGAGAGCAATCGAGGATATTAGTCCTTGATGTGTCTTAAATTCTGCCACAGGAAATTTGCCTATGGTGCTGTCATTAGGATCAGAAGGTAAGCATTTTGTATATCAAAGATCTGTCCATCTGGAATGTTGTTGTGTCTCCAGGGCTGTGTAGCATTGGAAAGGGATTCACATTCCTACTCTTAAAATACTCTTCATTTTGTATTTTCCTTCCTGCAGATTTTCTCGGGCAATCAAGACAAACATACCCCTGTGACCAACATGTTTAACACTCCAATCATCACCCACTATTTCCGAATCCATCCAGGGGAGTGCTATCGTGGCTGCACTATGCGGTTTGAACTGATTGGCTGTGAAATGAATGGTAAATGCTTCCCATTGGTCTAATGAATTTTGGTGGGGGCGCATTGTCTTGCATGGATAATTGGACAATAGGGCTCCCATGCCTTTAGATAGTTTTTTGTTTCCGTAAGACATCCTTTTTCTTAACTGGGGACTGAGAAGAGGGAAGCAAAAGTGCTGACAGAAGATTGGTGAGCCGCAGTGGTGCAGTGGGTTCTGTGCAGTGCTTCTGTGACTGCCGGCTGCCTGCAATTTGGCAGTTCAAATCTCACCAAGCGCAAGGTTGACTCAGCCTTCCATCCTTGCAAGGTGGGTAAAATGAGGACCCAGATTGTTGGGGGCAATAGACTGACTCTGTAAAACCCGCTTAGAGAGGGCTGCAAAGCACTGTAAGTGGAATACAAGTCTAAATGCTATTGCTATTATGGAAACCCCTGGAGAGGTTCTCTGGAATAAAAAATTTCATTTTGGTGATCTTCTACTTTCCAGTAGCTTTTGAAAATTGGGCCTGAGTTGGTTTTTTTTTTTTTTTGACACCTGGAACAGTTGGGACAATTGGCCAGTTTGGTGTATTAAAAAAAATAAAAGGGTGCCTGGATGGTTTAAATTACCCTTCAGGAAAGGCAGAATTTTGCAAACTGTATAAATGATGTAAATGATCATGGTCAGCTTTTTTGCATAATCTGGGGCTCTGCTTCAAAAATGGGGAAGGCTAGAATGATGGACCATCTTGACTCTTTTAATTAGATGGTGACATGTTGATGCAAAGGGGATGCTAAGTATTTTCTTTAGAAGGCAAGTCTTCTATATTTGACATTGCTCATCATTTGAAAAGGGGACCTTCAGCTGAAGCATGGGACTTGCCCGTATGGTTGAGTTAAACTGGGCTTCAATGAACTTGACTTAACGGTCCTGGGAACTGTGAAGTCTCTATAATCCATCTTAAACGGGCCTGGATCTCTTTCTCATTTACTGCTTTCAGATGGACAGTCCCTAAGCATCGTAAGACACCATGAAGTTGTCTCAGTCCCACCTCCTTGTCCTTAGTAGATTTCTAGGTAGAAAGAGATGTTCAGAAGACTTCTTTTCTAAGCATTTTGTGATCTATCCTGTTTCAAGTGCATTCCCAAGTGCCCAAGACAGGTCATTTTGCACTTGAAATAGTTTCACATTGCCAAATGTGAAGCCATATGGTTTTTTTCATAGTTTTAATATGGCTTTTCTCCTGTTTTGATTGGGGGCTGCCCTGAGTTGATTATATGTGAATGTTATAAATAAAATGGCTTGAAATGAAATGTTTGCATGCCCTTAGTAGAAAGGGGGGTGGGGGATGAGATTGGCAGGAAATCAAGTTGATTTCATTTTTTAAAAAATTTGCACCAAAATGCGCACATTTCCCCAAAATATGCACCGTCATTTGCAGTTTTGCCTAGTAATTATTTTTGCAAATACTTTGCCTTTCTGTATATTCATGGAAGTATGTCCTTTTGGACAAGCATTTCCCCAGCAGTTCCCTTCTTTTTAAATGGATTAGATTAGAGATTAGAACGGCCCTCATTCTCTAATACTCTTCCAGAAGGCGCTGAAAACCTGGTTCTGCCAGCAGGTCTGGGGAACCCAGAGCGGGATGGAGCCCATCAAATGGCTTGTGTAATCAGCTGTCGTTGGGGTGGGGCGTGGTTTTTTTATTTTTTATTTATTTTTTCTCCAGATTTTTCTATCGTACTTTATTAATTTATTTGATTCTTTTTGTTAGTTTTTTATTGTTTTTTATTTTAAATGTGGTTTTACATTCTGTAAGCCTCCTCGAGTCGCCATGGGTGAATAAGTGGCAATATAAACTCAATAAACAAACAAACAAATAAATAAATGCACATCCTTAATCTGGAGTGTAGAATTCTGGCAGGTTGTTACTACATAAATGCTAACCTGGAATCATCCTCTGTCTGTATCAGCAAACATCAAGAGACCCTCTGGTGGTGGTTTCTATCTAGATGTCTGTTGCTGCTTTTAAAAATTGATCTTCCTCTTGGGAGACTTTTTTGGGGGTGGGGTTTCTCCTTAAAGACACCATCCTTGGGAGAGTCTCCTTCTGTGGGAGAGTCACCTTCCTTCTGAACTCTTGCCTTTCACCATGTCTATAAATCGTTGTGTTACAGTGTATTTCAACACGGCAGGTTGCTCTGATCCACTGGGCATGAAGTCCCGTCTCATCTCTGACCGGCATATCACAGCCTCCAGCATGTACAAGACCTGGGGCATAAGTAAGATGTCATGGTACCCTTACTACGCTCGCCTTGATAACACTGGGAAATCCAATGCCTGGACTGCCCTCACCAACAAGGCAGGCGAGTGGCTTCAGGTATGTCCTTGCCACAGAGGATAAAAGCTGCCGTAAGAAGAAACTGTTTTAAGTGGAATCTGTGGGATAGGGCTGATAAACATGGTCCTTATTGTAACCATACAGCCTCCTTGCATGTGTTGTGGGAGAGAGAGAGAGAAAGAGAGAGAGAGAGCTTTAAACTAAAGTCGAAGAATGAATAAAATAAAAAATGTAAATATTTCTGGTTCAATGCACAACGAAATATGGAGCCTGGGTTGTCCGTCAGCCCTCAGATGGAGAGTCAACACCCCCAGATCTGAAGGTGGTTCATGAGGAAGAGGAGGAACAGCTGGGTCCAGTGCCTGATGCACAAAAGGCAGAGGAGAGGAGAGTAGTGGAAATTTATGGGCCAGTCCTTGGGACGGAAGAGCCACTGCTGCTAGCAAAGCCCCACCCTGGCTCTGGGGATAAAAGGCAGGGGGCGGAGATGAATAGATGTGGCAAACAACTATTCATCTCTCTGCCGGACAGACTTGTTAGCCTGTGTTGTGAGAGAAGCTTTTTGCCAGGTTTGCTGGCGCTCCTAACAAAGGAATCATTAATTTAACTATAGAAGGTTTGTTGTGTTCGGGGAGCTGGGTCAGAAAAGCATGGTTTATAATAGAAGAACTTATTACAGGCCATCCTCAACTTAGAATCTTGTGTTTAGTAACCATTCAATTACAACAGCACTGAAAAGAAGTGGCTTATGGCCATTTTTCACACGACCGTGTAAGATCTGCATGGTCACATGATCAAAATTTGGCCACTTGGCAACCAGCTCGTATTTATGATGGTCACAGTGTCCCGGGGTCATGTGATCCCCTTTTGCAACCTTCTGACAAGCATAGGGATTGGGGAAGCCAGATTCCCCTAACAACTCAGCCACAGCTGTCTTACTAACTTAACAACTTGCTAAGCAGCCAGCTGTAAGTCAAGGATCACCTGTACTATTTAAAAAAAAAACAACTCAGAGAAGTTATTTTTCCACTTAGAAAAATAGCTTGCTTGAAATCAGAAAGGTTTATACTTGATCAGTTTGTGCATGAGTAGCTTGTCTCTTATCCTATCTGCGAGTAGTATTGCTTTTTTTTTTTTAAAAAGAGAGAAATGAATATGTTGGATTCATACCCTATTGGAGAGTCAATTAAACAAAGCTAATTTCTCAGGAAGAAGAGAACATAGAATAACTGAGTTGGAAGGGACCTTAGAGATCTACTTCAACCCACAGGTAGAACGGAAAACCCTATACCAGTGGTGGCTAACCTTTTTGGGCTCTTGTGCCAGCACCTAGAAGGCAATACACAGCCCCCTCATGCCCCCTGTGCATGTGCATGCAATTCTCCCACTCGCTGCCCCCTTACCCGCACTGCACCTCACAACTGATTTTCCACCAGTTTGAAGCCATTTCAGCCTCCCAGAGGCTTGAAAAAAGCCTCTGCAGGCTTTGCAGAATGAATAATAGACCTGTTTCGTCACTTCCGGCATTTCTGGAAATACAAGAAGTGACAAAACAGGCCTATTATTCATCCTGCAAAGCCTGCAGAGGCTTTTTTCAAGACTTTTTCAAGGCTTCAAACCAGCCAAAAATCAGATGTGAGGCACATGCGTACGCAGTGAGGTAAGTTTGCCTGCGGCTTGTGTGCTGGCACAAATGGCTCTGCGTGCCACCTGTGGCACGCGTGCCATAGGATCGCCATCACGGCCCTATGCTATTGCAGATAAATGGTTGTCCAGTGTCTTCTTAAAAGCCTCCAGGGATGAAGCTCCCATAATTTCTGAAGGCAAGGTGTCCACTGGTTAATTGCTCTTGTTGTTAGGAAGTTTCTATTTAATTCCTGGTTGCTTCTCTCCCTCAAATATTGGAACACTGCTATCATGTCTCTTCTAGTCCTTGTTTTCATTAGACTAGCATCCCCATCTTCTCCCTCACCCCAAAATATTAAGTCTCAAAGAGGATTTCCAGTGTTGTAATGAGAAAAACACATTAAGGATATGCCAGTTTGGTTGAACGGGTATATTTTAACTGACCGTCAGTGTTTAATTAAGATAAAGATTTGATCTTGGAGGTAAGGATGAACAAGCCCTTTTTCATTTGGCAATTCCTTTAATACATTTAAAACACCTTCCTCCTCTTTCTAACCTCAAATCTTGGCCCAAACCAACTCTGTTCATTCATAGAATTGGTGAATCTCAGCAGGTTTCAAATTATTATTTTGAAGTTTTTCAGGGCCTCTTTTCATTTCAAAGAATGTTGAGTTTGCAAAGCCTTTATACCTTAGCACAAAAGGAAAGAGGGATGGGAGAGATGTGAAGGATGCAAGCTCAGTCTGTTTTTCCTTAGTAATATTCCTTCTGATCCAAACAACAACGGCAAAACACAACCTACCTCTCTTGAATGCAGTTTAGGGTGCTAAATACTTGAAGTTCCGTAGCTCTTATTCCCTTATACTCTTCTGTTGCTCCCATCTCATTTTTTATATTTTTGATGTTATAATCATCCTCTTTAAGATTAATAAATTTAATGTATATGGTGCCCAACTGCCAATGATTCTAGGCAGTTTTAGGTTTTTTTAGTTAAAAAGTAACTCCTAGTTAGCTTTTTACTTTTTACACTCTGTATGGATCTATTATGGAATTCCTTTAAATTATCACTTTTTATATATTTTATGACTCACATATAAATGTATGCATAGATAGTTCTTGACTAACAGCCACAAATTGAGCCCCCAATGTTTGTGGTTATGTGAGACATTTATTGAGTTTTGCCCCATTTTATGACCTTTCTTGGCACAGTTGTTAAGTGAATCATCAAAGGGCATTTATCACTGGAAGTTTTTGAGAAGAGACTGAACAGACACTTCTCTGAAATGGTATAGGGTCTCCTGCTTAAGCAGGGGGCTAGACTAGAAGACCTCCACAGTCCCTTCCAGCTGTATTCTGATTGATTGGTTTACTTCTACCGGTGGAATTATCACGCTTGTTTTCTGCAGATTGATCTTCAGAAATTGAAAAAAGTGACTGGGATTGTAACTCAGGGAGCACGAGATTTTGGGCACATTCAATACGTAGCAGCCTACAAAGTGGCCTACAGCAATGATGGGAAAACCTGGACTTTCTACCACGACAACAGTACAAACAGCATTAAGGTAGAATTGGGCAAAATCTTTTTGTAGGATTGGGAGTCAGTGCAGGGTCTGTCTTTCGTTTGTTTGTTCATTCATTCATCTATTCTTTTTTTTTGACTCATTCATTCATTCAACACAGGCTCAGTTTGTAAAAAAGTTGACAAAAGCTTCTGTTAAAGTTATAATGTTCCCAACAGACATAAGGAAATGAAAACAACAAATATCTAATCAAAAATACAACACCACCAGGATATTGTTAATTCTTTCATAACCCAACTGTTCCCCACAGCATATTTTTTATATGTCATGGAGTAGTTCTTAGACTGTTCCATTAATGCTGTCCTGAAATGTTTCCTGTAGTTTCTTCAAAATTTTATTCCTCTGTGAAAGGGCGAAAAGGAGGAGGGAGGGGATGGAGGGACAAAGGGAAGGAGAGAGGGAGGAAAGGAACAAAGTTATGAAATATGACTTCCAGCTTTCTTTTCAAGAAATAATAGCAATCTTCTAATCCTCACTCAGATATGATATGGAGTGCGCTCTTTCAAATCCGCTGCTGCTGTCTTCTTCTTCTTCTTCTTCTTCTTCTTCTTCTTCTTCTTCTTCTTCTTCTTCTTC